TATGAGGTGGCTCATTTCTTTCCCCTGCACCCTTATCATCATCATCACTGCCCCCATGGGAGGTGGCAGAGAGGAAAAGAGAGAGGGAGAGAAGGAGGAGGAAGAGAAAGCGTGAGAATTTCATTGAAAGAATGTGAGGTTCTTACATGATACATACATGGATTATATGGACAGAGAGAAGAAGATGGTCTTTGTCGTTGTCTGTACTACAAAAGCATAGGGAAGTACCAGGAAATGCCGAAATGGAGGCTGATGTTACAAGTGTAGTACTGCAAACAAAAAAAAGACAAGACAAGTTTGATCTGTTCATTCTAATTACCTTCACTTATTTAACTATTTGCCCAGGATGGAACCTTGGTAGATCACAATTTTTTTGGCTTCTTTAGATTAATATGTAATCTGTAAAAAAAAAAAACAAAAATAAAGTAAATTCTACTTACACGGTTCCAATATTAACATTTCTCAGATAATATTTTGTATTTTTCAAAAAAATAAGAAAATTACATGCTATCACGTAAAATAAATTGAAACCCTAAAAGATGAATGTGAAGTTTATATTTACTCTTTGAAAGTGAAATGTAATGTAATGATAAAAAAATATATGGATGAAAGTTACGGTGAAAAAAATATTAGATACTTCTCTTGATTTATTTCATGGTCAAATCTTTTATGAAATTAAATATTTGAACAACACCAACAACATACAAACAATACAAGATGTAAGGAGTTAAATTATAAGTTAATTTAAAAAACAAAACAAAAACCATATCTACTAGGACTTATGAATAATGCCTAGAGAAACAAAACGCGTCATTATTATTTTTTAAGTCTTGTTGGATACTACTTTTAAATTGAATATTTTCTCTTTCAAAGGACTCAAAAGGTCTTAACAATAAAATATTTTGTTCCTTATTTCATAAATTTCTCCTTTTTCAAATAATGTAAAAATTAAAAAATGCCATCCGACGATATTTGAAATAAAAATGATATTCAAAGATAAACGTTATTTTAAAAAATCTTAATATTAATATTAATTTTACGAACATTCAATTTGAAACAAAAAGGATTATAAAATATGATGGAATGAGAATATCCCATTAGATCTTAATCCTGACTGCACATCCAAAGGTCAGATTTTTAAAGACAAGTTATCCATGGAGTTTCTGAGTTGTGTTGCTGCCAACTACTTGCTATGGTCCTAATATTTGGCACCTAGGTGGAAAGGGCTGTAAACATGTCGTGAAAGTCTGAAAGAAACATCAAAGTGGGATCCACTTTCAGACTGGCGTTGCCGTCAGGCTGGGTCCGTGGCTGACGGGCGTGGATAGACTTTCACCATTCGGACCCAAGGTTCACACTTTCAAAGCCTTTGGTTCAGGACAAAGATGTGTGAACCAACCAAAACACAGAGATTTGATCAAGCCAGAACCAGTTCAAGGACAATGGAAGTAGAATAATTGAAGCACCCCATTTCTTCGAACTAGTCAATACTTTCATGGTCCTGACAGAGTTGGTCAAGAAGAAGATTGCTTTCGATTGACAAGAGTGAGATTGTTGCAATGGTCAAAAACAAAATAACCAAAATTCTTTTTCCTGTTGCATCATGGTATCCGAACAAGGATCATATCCTAACTCAGTAGCAAGAGAGAGTCAAGACTTGCTCACATCGAATGATGATCGAGTATGTTCCATGAGAACGTTACAACTCTGTCATTAAAAGGGAGAAAGATGAATAAATTAATCCCTCAGGTTTAAGGTTAGGCTACGATTTTTCTTGTGGAAAGTAACTGAAAATCGCAAGGAGGAATAACTGTGACAATAATCGACGAATAACATTGCCCTGCAATTAAGACAATCCCTTACTATTTAAGGACCAGCTTATCTGTACCGTGTTTTATGCCTTCTCAGACTACTGTTGTAACTACAAGACGGGTCCTTGAAAGACTTGCTGTCCT